AAGTTAGAGCCTTGCAGAAATTATTTAGTAAGCTTACTGAACTTTTGGAAATTATTTTAGAAAAGTCATTGCATGCAGGGAAGTATTAAGAAGCACAAGAAAGGTGTCTATTTTTGAAGGAATTAAAAATATGTGGGTGTAAAAATGGCAAGAATACGACACAGTTAATTGCAGTATTATATAAATGCTTAAATAAAAGCATTGGTAGGGAATAGACCACATTGCACAGGCTCAATATCTCAAAACCAAAATCAACAAATTATTGTATGAAAGGGATTGTGCAGCTTTAGTGATTATCTGTGGGGGTATGTGAGAGTTGGAAATGCACTTTCCATGGGTTGAAGACAAGCATTCTTCAGGAGCTTGAAAATGAAATGAAGGACTGAAAATCAATACGAATGAGAAGCAAGAGTGTGGGGAATTTAAAGGAATTACTACTAAAAGAGCAAACTACCTTTGGAAGAGAACTTTTAAATATATATTTAAGTTCCTGCCTTAGTACATAAGCTTCAGTATATTCAGTGCATTTTTATTTAATGGTAACGCTCATTTGAAGGCAGAAGCATCAGCTCTGTAAAGGTATGGAAAATAAATATTCTCACCTGGCTCATATTGTCACAGCATATCTCAAGTCAATAAATTACAGTGATTTAAAATTTGGCTAGAAGAAATAGCTAATATTTCTAAAATACTAAATTTCTTAATAACAAAATTATATTTCTAATTGATATTTATCAAGAAATATATCTTATCTTTTCTTTCCAGTCTTGATATTGGGATAATTTGACCATAGTATGGCAATTATTTTGATGAGTATTGTTGGTATTAGATATGCAGTAGGCACTAGCAAAGAAATGGCTTCCCATATCCTGTGAATTCTCAGTCAAGAGCGCAGCTTGACAAATTGTTCATCCCTAAAAGTGTGTTAAAAATTATAGTTATGCTTTGACTTTCTGTTTTTTCCTCATTATCTTCCATCTGTTTTGGATTTGGGGTAACATCAAAAATTGATTCTATGGAATAAAATGCCTTAAAATACACTGGGAAAAAGCATGCATATTTAAATGAGTAGGATAAATTATTGACATTCAGTTGCATAGCAGATTGGTAAGTATTTCTGTACAGACATGTTTTTAAAGTTCTTGGGCTATTCCAATCTTTCAGTGTCTTTTATAGTGTTTTCTTTGTAAGTCCCTAACAGGTAATTGCACTCCTAAGATTTAATTAAATATTAATTAAATATTTGCCCCTTTTCTCACAAGGTATTGGGTTTCCTCAGTAGCCATATATGAACAGTTCATAATTAGTTCATTATCTATTTAATGTTATTTAAGATACCCAATTGGCAAATATGGCATTCCAGATTGTTGGCCACTTTGAAGATTCTGTCATTGTAAACAGATAATTATTCTGGTTTCTAAACTATTCCATGAAAACTCATGTGAAGAACCAAAACATAATTGTTTTCATCCATACATCTTTCCTCATGATTTTTTCTTGCTCCCCTTGTTGTGTTTCATGATTAATCTAGCTGATTAGCTTCTCTCTCTGGCTCTCAGAAGGGCTGTAAGGCTGTGCCTGTCCTGTGACATGAGTTGCCCTGGCACCCTCTGCCTCTCTGGCTCTCAGAAGCTGAAAGGCTGTGCCTATCCCGTGACATGAGTTGCCCTGGCACCCTCTGGAGCAGATATGCTGGGGCTACACTGAATTGCCTTTGGCTCATAGAGTGCTTCTTTGGCCCTGACATATTCTTTGTTTGTTTTATATGTGTGTGTGGTTCTTCAGTTCTAAGTGCCAAAAATAATACAGCCCACAGCCATGCTATTCTGGAAAGCTGAAGTTAGAGGCATGCTGGTTTGCTGTTGGGCATGAT